CAAGAAAAGCTCAATTCTATTGACAGAAATAAAAAAAGTACTGAAAAGGATTTCACCTAAAAGCAGTGAAATAGGAGATGGTAAATGATAGATAGACAGATAGATAGGCAGACAGACAGACAGACAGACAGATAGCGAGTAGATAGACAGACATACAAACATACAGACAAATAGATTGATAGACAGATGGTTGATAGATATAGATAGACAGATGATTGATTTAATTTTCTAGGACAGTCTCTAACCCATGCTGTTTAAGCCCAAGATACTTCACCTTTTTTTATCTTAAGCTAATTACAAAGCATGAACATTTCTCTCAATAGTTAAGTGAGAATTCTTATGTTGTTTTTTGTTCTTTTTTAGACAAGCCTGCCCATGTAGCCCAGGCTGGCCTCGAACTTGTGATTCTCCTTTCACGTGTATCTTCACCTACCTGATTACACTTCCGAGAAGTAGATCTCATCTTTGTGTGGTCTGTGTGTATTGCCCTATGGGTTTGATTCTCAGACTGCTTTAAGAAACCATGGACTAATCTAAGACTGCTGGGACATTTTTACACAAAGAGAGATGATGAAGTCCGTAAAGATGAGGACTGGTAAACAGGCATGGAAAGAAGTTTCCTAATTCCTACAGGGAAAAGGATTTTAATGGTGGTAAGAGTGATAATAATCCTATAAGAAGAATTAATGCTTAACAGCATAAGAGTTATATTTCCTAAAACATGTCAGACTGGGTGTGATGGTGCATACACACTGTCTTAGTCAGGGTTTCTGTATTTTGAAGACACCATGACCACAGCAACTCTTATAAAGAAAAACATTTATGTGTGGCTTACATTTTAGAGATTAAGTCCATTATGATCATGGTGGGGCGTGGTGACATGCTGGCAGAGTGCTGGAGAAGGAGCTGAGATACAATAAGTGATCTGAACTAGGTGTAACTTGCACATAGGAGACCTCAAAGCACACAAGCCTTTGGAGATATTTAAAATCTAAACCATACAGCCTCACATTGATGCCTTGCACTCAGCAAGTACTAAAGTGTTAATTCTCATTATTATTATTTTCACAGTGTCCCTTGGGATACAAACAAAACTGCCTGAAGTTATTTTCTGTGTTAATGTGCGAGTAAATTAAGTGAATCAGGGTCAAGGCCATGAAAATGGCATCAGGGTAAACCCAGGTGTCTTAGTTTGGGTGACTGTGGCTGAGATGACTCACTAAGGCCAAAGCAACTTGGAGAGGAAAGGTTTATTACACTCACACTTCCAGATCATGGCTCATCAAAAGCAATGAGTGCAGGAACTCAGGCAGGGCAGGAACCTGGAGGTAGGAGCTGAAACAGAGGCCATGGAGGGCGCTGCTTACTGGCTTGTTCATCATAACTTGATTTATCTGCTTTCTTATAGAACCCAGGGTCACCAGCCCAGGGATGTCACACCCATAATGGGCTGGACCCTCCCCATCAATGACTCATTAAGAAAATGTCCTGCAGACTTGTGTGTGGCCTGATCTTATGGAGGCATTTCCTCAACTGAGGCGCTCTCCTCTCTGATTTTAGCTTTTGTCAGATTGACATAATGCCAGAACAGCGGGTTAAATAACAAAGACTTGGTAATTACAAACCTATAGGCTATATATTTCTTACTAGGTACTAGACTTTTTACAAGTTACAGTAAAAGGAAGATTGAAAAGCACTACTACATATATTGCAACCTTTTAGAAGTATCTGGTTTTATTTTCGTTTCCTGTAGCACAGAATGCCCAACTGTGCTTTATGTGCTACCATACAATTCATGAGCCTCAGGCAAGGGGCTGGAGATTGAAACACACAAAAACACACAAAGACACACAGAGACACACAGAGACAGCACGGACAAAGACACACATCGCTAGTTACTGGTAAAGAATCCCTTTTATTGAATAGTACCATGGAGGCTTATATACCCACAGTCAAGTGGGCCAACAGGTGAAAACCTCATTCCCTGATCCTCAAGGCAAGGCAACACGTGCTCAGGAAGCAGAGCTGGTAAACAATTTTGACACAGCTTTCAGTAGCTCAAATCAGAAGGCCAAGTAAAGGTCACTAGCAGGGAAGAGCAGCTGGAGGCCAGGACTCCTAATGGTCCCAACAGTTTCCTGTTTACTCAGGGAAAAAGAGAAATAGACTTGGAGAATACTTAATTCAGAACATCAAAATCCCAATGGAAACAAGCTGGAAAAAAGTTATAAACAAACCATGATACATTTTCAGTACTAAATTTTCATTCTTCTTATGACATACTTCCAATAACAAATCATTGTAGCCATGGTAACTGTTGAGAAATATACCAATTTTAGTCAGTTCCCAAATTATTTGGGGGAAAGGGACAAAAGATGACACCCCTACTAACAAGTGACTTGATATGTCTATGGTTAGACAAGGTCACTACAACCTCTGCTAAAGTTGTGATGACAGGATGAGTCATAAAGCAAAACAGGAGGAACACCTGTAAGTGACAGATGGTACCGCTGCCCCTCCTCGGGATCAACCCCATGAGGTCACTATACAGACCTAAATCAGTCACTTCTTCCCTTATGCCTCAGTTGAACTTATCTGTAAGTTAAGTAGCATGTTAAATTGGCTGTTGTCAAGGTCACCCCAGCTCTTTGGATGACTTCACAGTCTAAAACTCTCCAAGCAACTTGGTAAGCACCATGGGTAGCCACCTCTCCAGTCTATGGAGCATCTACCATGTTAACAACTAGAAGGTTAGAGAGAGCAGCTAGTATCTCCTTCACTCCCTCCTTCCTGCCTCTCCTTCAATCTCCTTCCCCCCTCTTTCTCTACCCAACCTGCTATCTCATTATATGAGTCTATATGTGCATATGCATGTATGTGTATGGCCATAAATTTTCCACTTAGTTCAGCAGAAGCAGTGCCCAAGGTTGATAGTGACTGACTTGCTTTGTAATTAAGACATACATGGTCCTTCTAGAAGATCAACAGCCTAGTGTTGTCACCTTGGGCAGTGTATCTCCCAAATACACCCTTCAAGTTCCCATCTCCAGAGTTCCTTCCAGGCTACACAAATCGTGCTTCTTCATAAATCCTCTTGCTGATTCCCACTCAGCCACTAGCCACCCCTGACTGCCTCTAACCATAAACTTCATCTTTACATAACCCATTAATGAGTGTGATGGTCTCACCTTCCCTGACTTATCTACAGACCAGATTTATGACAAACCTTTAGTATGACTTAAAGGAAATATCTGACAACTACGTTCAGAAAAATGTACCTTCTCTCCTGGACTACATACTGAGCCCCAAGCCAGCAGGCTATAGAGTAAGACCCTATGTCTATAAATAAATAAACAGCAACAATAAAAAGAAGACAGAAAAAATGTAGCCTCTCTCAGGAAGCCTGGAGTAGGGAAGGTTGACACTGGCAGGATCGCACTCTCTGTCCCCTTCTGTGCACTGTGCAGCATGCTTAGACAAGAGCCCTGACACAGGATTTGGTGTCCTAGGACACTGTTCACAGTCATCCCGACACCTGATGATACTCTGAGAAAGCCCAAGACTCATACCCTGACAACCTCTCTCTCATAGGATGATAGCATTATTAATGAAATTGTTTGAAATAATATGTGGTAGTTGTGGCTGCATTATTATTTTAAATGGTCCATGTACAGTTTCAGTATTATTAGGTGGGTATTAAGATTAGAAGAGCTGGGCTAACAGGTGGCTCAGCAGTTATGAGTTCTCTGTTCTTCCAGACGACCTGGGTTCAAGTCTCAGCACCCAAATGGTAACTCTCCCGCCAGGGTATCTGACACCCTCACACAGACACTCATATGGGTAAAACACCATGCACATTTAAAAAAAAATGTGGCTTCCCACTTCAGGTGAGTTAAGCTGAGTTCCCTGCCAGGGCCTATGTTGTTTTGAGAGACTGCTCTGAAGCAGCTGTGGGATGCTCCTCCCACCCCATCCTAGCTCCACAGTGTCTTTGATGGAACCTTTAGCTGGCTGGAAAGGCTGGAACCACTAATACGGAAGTTCATAAGGCCTTCAATATCTGGTTCAATGAAATTGTATCCCATGCAAATGAGACATACACACAGACTGCCAGACACAGGCATCGCCAGCAGGCACCCAGGCATGTGCTGGGACACAGACAGGCAGGCTGGGTGGAGGTAGGCACACAAGCCTGCAGATAGACATACACAGGCAGGAAGCTGGTAAAGGTATCCTCAAGGCCATGTTTGTACAGAACCACACAAAAGTGTCACTCTAGAACTGATTATCTAAAACATGACATCACTATTTACTCTGGGGTCTCCAAATACTTGGTGTCAGTTAACTCAATGTGCTAACTCATTGTCCCCACCCTTCCCACCGTATAAAGTGTCAGCCATGTTTGAGCTGACATATCAGGTAGCCATACATATCAACACCATGTTGTTTAAATATAAACACCCTCATGGCTTTCTGTGTCTAAACAAACACTCTTGGAGTGGTATGCAGGGCTCCTCTAGAATTGCAGAATCTTCTAGAGAAACTGCCTGAGGCCTCAGGCAAGCTCAGGAAAGGAGAAAGACAGCAAATCAGATTAAAGGAGAATGATGACATCACCTCACTGGGTGCCCCCTTCCATCCCCCTCTACCGGAGATGCCTCCAACAGCAGAACAAAATTATTCCCATCTGCAGAACCCCAAAGCCATTGCATAATGAGAACGATCTATTCAAAATATTCGTAGGAAAGTCACTGTGCAGTGGCTGCTGTGACCAACAAGTCTGAGAGCTGGGATTCTAATACACAAGGCTTCAGCCACTATGCAGGGGTTCAGAGGCTGGGAGCAGAGCAGCTGGTTATCTGTAAGAACCTAATCGTTCATAAAAGAAACACCTTCAAGTGTAACTAATTCCTGGGGATTGGTTGCAGAAAGAAGATACCAAAGTGGGTAGAGGGAAGGGCGTGCACTGTTCTAGAACAAAGCAAAATATGTCCCTGCAGGTCCGAGAGATCCCAGACAAAACAATGTGGATTTTAACTGTTATGAGCTTCCGGTAACGTGTGGTACTGCTAAGGGAACTCTGTATAAGGAGAAATTTGAGCAAGGTGAGTTTGAGATCTTCTGTGTTCTTCACCAGGACAATGGCACCATGTATGGGGCGGGCATCTGTGTTGGGTGTGTCTCATCCCAGAGTCAGTTTCTGGGACTCAGGATATCGGCAATGTCACACCCGTTACTGAAGTGAGAGTCTGAGGTCAAGTTGCCAATGAGAAGAGGGCGTGAGAGAACAAGTCCAGAGGAGCCAGAAGCTCTTGACATTGCTCTCTTAGTGGGGACACACAGGGTGCAATCAACTACCCCAGCAATGAAAATGTGAAAGGCTTTCTTCCAAGGGGCTGCCCGAGCCCAGGACCATGGCTTCTAACAGCACAGAGTTATGCAGGTACATATCTGCATAGGGCACACCAAATCCAAATTCTCACAAAGAAAATGGGTCTCCTGTGGGAAGTGAGCTGTGTGTAAATGGTCTCTACATGGAGAGTTACTCTGTTTCTGGCAATGACAGAAGCTCTCTCCAAAGTCATATTCTCAGACTACGGCCAAAAGTCCGACTGTGAAAGGGGCGTTTCTTAGGAGAGTCTCAGGCCTGTTGTGTTCATTCTTTTCTGCACCAAACACAAGAGAGGAGTAGCAATGAGGACATTTTTTAATTTTTTTCTTTTTCTCTTTCTTGTGCTATTGGGGTTATACCCAGGGCCTTGTGCCTGTGAGGCAAACGCTCTCTCACTGAGCTGCACCCTAAGCTGCAGTTTTGTAAGTTTAAATATCATACGTCCCTGGCCTATCAGGCTACCTCCCCTCCCCCCATGAAAAGGAGCGATAAGATGCCTGTTTAGCTTCTCATAGCAGAGTAAGCCCTAACACTCCTGGGTGGGAAATGTGTGTGTCTGAGAAAGTCAGCATCAACCTTTGTGGGTCCCTTAGCTGTGACCTGTCAGACTTTAAGCTAAGTAAGAAAATCCAGAGGACTTGGATTGGAATTTGGATACACTCTAACCTCAGCTCTCTTGGTGTATTAGTCCAGTGTTCTTTGCTCTACTGAAATATCCAGTCAGGCTTCTCTATTTAACTTACAGATTTAGAGGCTAAAAGGCCAAGATCAGGCAGCCTCACATACGGGCCTTTGGAGAGGGACTGAGGGCAGGTGGCATCATGGCAGGGGTATGACATGTAGGAGGAAGAGTCATACCATAAGACAGTGACTGGGGTCCCATAAGAACTATCTTAATCCCTCCCAAAGGCAGCACCCTTCATGATCTAGCACCACCTCACAAACCACCTTGTCAAGGACCAGGTTTTCAATATATGACCCCTGGGGGCGGGGAGACTTTCAAACCATAGCTCAACCACAAGTCAATTCCTCTGTCATCTGCATCTGCATCTCTCTTAGGAAATGAGAATAAAACTTCTCTCACCACATTGCTGTGATAAAAAAGATAATGGACATAAAACATTGTGGAAATTGTAATTGTTAGAGTACAGTGCCACTGGTCCTCTATCATGGTTGGCCTTCCTTTCCACAGCACAGTTCTTTCTTTAAGATTTACTTTGACGAGTGTTTGGCAGCATATGTGTCTGTGCATTGAGTGTGCCAGGGGACCGTGGAGACCATAAGATGACATCAGTTCTGGAGTCATGGATGTGAGCCCCATGTGGGTTCTGAGAACTGAACCCGGGTCTTCTGCGAGAGCAGCAGTGCCCTTCACCACGAAACCGTTTCCCTAGCGCCAAAGTGGTTCTTTTGTTCTCAACAAATAGATGTTTTCCCCGTGATTCTACTGCCTACATGCAATTTAGCTGTTCCATGTAGACAGCATTTCCTAAATCACTTTTAACATCAACTAGTCATGATTCTAAAATATGAGGAATAACCAACTGTCGTGACCTGGAAGAGTAATGTTATAGAAGTAGCTGTGGTGACAGCTTCCTCGTGGCTGGATTCACAAGAGCCCAGCAGGGAATTTTCTGCCCTCACTCACCTTTCTGAAATGATTCTACACTGGGTCACAGTAAAAGGACGAGAAAGAATTCTGGTCACATTTTAGTGTCATTCCTTTTTTTTCTAATCTTTTAATGCTGCAGTAGAATGCTTTATAGGAAATGTCAAAGGCTGAAGAGATGGCTTTGTGGTTAAACGCACTTGCTGATCTTCTGGAGGACCCAGGTTCAAGTCCCAGCAATCACACTTGGCTCAAAATTATCTATAATGACTGGCCCAGGAGATTCAGTGCCACTTTCTGGCTTCTGTGGGCAGTAAGCACAGATGTTGTACACTGACACACTTGCAGACAAAACACCAGGACACATTAAAAATGAATTATTTTTATATCAGGCAGTGGTGGTGCTTGGCTTTAATCCCAGCAGTCAGGAAGAAGAGGCAGGCAGATCTCTGTGAATTCTAGGTCATCCTGGCCTACAGCCAGGGTTTTACACAAACTCTGTCTTGGAAAAATAAGAACATTCTTTTTAGAGAAACCGTAAAGGATAACATCAGTGGTCGTCATTCTCTGTCCTTGCCTAGCAGGATGGGTGTGTGGCCCCTGATGACTGAGAAGGAAATGCACATCCTCCTGAGACTAAACCCCAGCCCCAGATCCAGGATATTATGGGACAAGAGCAGGTGTTTTCATAGCTGGCTGCTCAGTTGGTCTTGGTCTTACAGGCATCCATGAGAAGAGTATACAGACTGAGAATGGAGAGTGGCTCACTCTCAGGGAGTTTGAAATCAGCGGAAACCGTGAAAGATCCAAGAAATGGAGGCAAAGCATACGTTGTGATGGCTATGTCCTGGAAGATCTGATAAAGGTATTCTGGGGGTAGAGAGCTTCCATGGTTCCTGGGTACGATGGTGAATTAAAAGTTTCTATATGACAGGCAGTTTCAATTATTCTGGGGTAAAACAAGAGATTAGAAGCTCTCTCCATGTGACTGATAACTTCAACCAAGGATTTTATTGTCATAATTCACTGCCACCAGATGTTAGCACAATGTCAGTGTCCACAATACCATTATGATTCTTCTCAGCCAGGTTCCATAGCATGGATCGTTGCACTTGGGTGTTACCTGGGCTGGCTTGTATTACACTTTAATCTCTTAAATGCATTAACTTCCATCCTTTGGATGAAAAGACTGGGATCTTTACCATTAACTAGTTGCATAAACCTTGATACCACGGATATAATTTAAATGCAGAGTGTCAATGATGAAAATCATACAATTACATGTCTGAAAATAACGCACACATGTGGATACCTGAGTTACAGAATGTTCCAGCATTTCTTCTCCCAGGTCATTGTCTCACATTTGTTCTTGAACAGCTGAGTGTGGTGAGCCAAACCTGTAATCCCGCACTTGGGAGACTCAGAGCTCGAGGCTGACCTAAACTCTGTTGTCCCAGGACAGCACAGGTTACAGTGTAAGACCAGCCTCAACTCCATCTACCCACAAATAAGAGTAAATAAATGAAAAATAATTTTTAAATAAGTTCTTTGCTCTTCATTTTTGCTCACCCTCTGAATTGGGAAGTTCAGGAGGTTTCCTTGGTAACTGAACCCATTTCTTTTGGCACTGTCACGTATTCTGTCATGGCCTTTTCCTGCGCTGTTCTCACAAAAAAAAGCAAAGAACTTTGTTCATCGTGTATCAACTAAGCTGCTTCTGAAGCCATGGGGAGTACAGGTGTGAACCCCTGGCCAGGGCAAGGCTGCACCGTCACACCCTACCTGCAGTTACTACTGTGGAGGAGAGGAAATGATGCTGTGGCTAAGGGGTGGGATGGCTATTACTGGCCTTAGGTCTAAAAACCATGTCATGGATCAGTCTTCCCTGAGCTGGGTCACAGAGGACAGTTCTGACAAAGTGTAGGGTGGGGCTTTCTGCATGGGGAAAGAAGGGCATTAGAAACCAGCTCTCAGTATGTCTGGAAACTGTGGGAGATCAAGCAGCATCTCTTGTCTGAGCTCACTGTGAAAATCACCAGGCTTTAAATGTCTCCTCGACTCAGTGTGAGGGCACATGGGGAGTAATTTCCATGACAACTTGTATTTAACAATGGTACATTCAGACAGAATAACTAGAAAGCAGTTAGAAATACAAAATAGAAGCAAAGACTTACCTCATCATTAACTTTATCCTTTCTGTCTTTCAGAATGGATCTCTACCAAACCCACTAAGGACAAAGGAAAAGGTAATTATTCCAAGATCTCCTTCCATGATGTCTGAGGCTATTATCACGCCATGCAGAGTGAGGTTGAATACTTTTTTTAGTGGGTTATGGAGGGGAAAAGGAAAGGAGGAAGGGGGGAAGGGAGAAGAGAAGAGAGGCAGAGAGAGAGAGAGAGAGAGAGAGAGAGAGAGAGAGAGAGAGAGAGAAACAGAGGGGGAAGGGGAGAAGTGGGGAGAAACGAGCAAGGCAAAAACTGCCTCTTCAGGAGAGAGAAGAAAAGGAAGGAACTCAGGCTGGAAGCAGAGAGAAGATCTGCTTGCCTTAGTGGACAAAGTGGAGTGGGCAGGGCTTGTCTCTTAAAGGGACAGGACAGACCATTATATAGTCTGCACATATTCTGGCCTGTTCCCAAACTTGCCTGCGCTCCTCAGGAAGTAGGTCATTAGATAGAATCGTGTGTGTGTGTGTGTGTGTGTGTGTGTGTGTGTGTGTGTGTGTGTATGTGTGTGTGTGTGTGTGTGTGTGTGTGTGTGTGTACATACATGCAGTCCTCAGCCAAGGAGAATTGCCAGAGGTGACTGTCAGCAAAAGGTGCCATCCATAGCCTTGAAGGCAATGGGTAAGTATACCCCTGTTTTCTAGAACACCAGAAGGATATTGGACACCCAACAGTCACTCCCATGGGTTTGGCAAAGTATATACGCCAACCAGAAGGGAACAAACTCTCCATTGAAGCAGCCGGTGTTGTGTGCAGTGACCCAGCAGCCTGGCAGATAGAATATGGGCAGTTGTAGATGAACCCAGTCCTGGGCAGTGGGGGAGCCTGTTGTGCCTCAGCACCAATGATATTACCATGCGTGAGAATAGACAACGAAACCTGCTTTAAGAGTTTTTATTCATAGAGAGAAAGGAAAGAGGTGGGTGCACAGGCCTGTCTCAAAGAAATGTGGCAAAAAAGAACATGGGGTGGGCATGTCCACATTTTAAAGGTAGTTCAGTGCATGCGTGTAGGGTTTACATAGTCATGCATACATATAGATTACGTGGCCATGCTCGCATGCACACGGATTACATAGGTCATAAAGCCCTATCATGCCTAACAGTATGCCTGAATGCTGAGGGCACATGCACGGCTGTGGGACCCCAGGAATGCTAACACCTAGGCTGACTAAGCATTTTGCTTGCATGCTGAAGGACAGGAGACCCGGGATGTGTGGCAATGACAACAGAGTACATGAACGGCCAATTCAGGACTCTGCTGGCAGCACCCCTTCAGTTCTTCACGCAACAGAGGAAAGAGGACTTTCCAGACCTCCCAGAGCACATGCGGATAAACAAAATCAAGAGCAGGCTAAACTAGAAGGCATACCACTCACTACAACGTTTTGTGGAGAACAGTCGCCTCATCTTTCAGAACCACAGCATTCTCATAAAGTAAGAATCTCTGCTTTGCTTTCTTTTCTCTTTGAGGTGAGTCACTTTTCCTAATGTCAGGTAGATGCTATAATTGCCCTCATTATGGGGCAAGCCCACACAAGTCAAAGTTGAGAAAAAATTCGAAAAGTCCCATGATGCAAGTGGGGAAAGCAGCAGTAACTCACATTGGACCTCCGGAAGCTCACGTTGGGACAGCTGATTTTCACCCATGGAGAGCAACAAGTTATAGAGCTGCTTACGGCTGCAAGGAACAAAAGTGTATTTTACAGACAGACAGAATTTCTCATCTATAAAGAGAGAAAATTGGACTTCTCGCATTGTCAAACCTCAAATTTCTTAGTATCTAAATGTCCTAGTGCTGTAGCAAAAAGAGATGGTTCAGCTGTTAAGAGAACATACTTCTCTTGGAAAGAAAGGAATATGGTTACCAGAAGCCACATCAGGGGCTCATGTGCACTCCAACTCTAGGGAATGCAACACCCTCTTCTTAGCTCCTCAGGCACCCACAGTCACATGTATACATCACACATAAGCATACATGTTTAAAAGTAATAAAAAGGACAAAGGCAGGAGACAGGCCAAAACCTTGCCAGTAAACCATGAGGCTTGTGGTGTATGAGCCCTCCAGTGTCTGGAAGATGCTGTTTCTTGGACTCATCCGCCACTTCAAAGTCTGACAGTCTTTGTGCCACCTCTTCCACTTAGATCCCTGATCCTTGAGGAGAGGTCTTTGATAAAGACATCCCATTTAGCAGACTGTTGTCGGCCTGCCTTTAATCCCAGTCCGCGGGAGACAGAGGCAGGTGGAACTCTGTGAGTTCAATGCCAGCCTGGTCTATAAGAACTAATTCTAGGACTAATCCAAAGCTACGGAGAAATCCTGTCTCAACACCCCACAGAAAAAAAAAGACATTCCATTTAGAGCTGAATGCTCCACAGTCAGTCTCTGGACCTTGTCCAGTTGTGGGTCTGTTAATTCCCATCTACTGCAAGAAGCATTGCTGAGTGATGCTCTGCCTTTCCTTCTGACGGACACCAATATTAATAATACTTTAATAATAATTGTAATAAATAGCAATAAATCTTTTAAAAATTGCCACAGAATTAGAAAATTCCACTTGTCGTTGAATGAGGTGACCTAAGGTTGGGGGCATGTCTTTAAAACACTTCCTCAACGATCTGAGGGGAGACCAGAAGGAAATCTGAGCCAGCTTTAGTGAAAAGAAAGTACAGCCAGAGTCTAGAACACCAGACAGAGGTCAAAATAGACAACTGAGAGGTGGGGAAGGAGGTACAAGGAAGTTGTCCCATTGAGTCTTTGTCCACTGAGGCATAAAGTGGGCATGAAAACTTCATCTTGTCCAGAGTGACATGAGTTTGGGGTGTAGAAACTATATTCTGCTGTCTCTCGTCAACCTAGAACGAGTAATTAATGTCAGTCCATTACTTTTTATTTTAGTTCAATATCAGTCAAAGACAGCTCTTTGTGTCCCAAATTCAGGGTGGGTGTGTGAGATAAGATATAGCTAACTGAAGTGCTGGGCCCAGAATGAATAAGTAACATTCTGTCAGTTTACCTTTTGTGGCTAGTTTGAGACCCTAATATCGTCTTTTAGTTTATTTTTAACTAAGTGTGACAGTGGTTTGCTAAGAGGATACATTAAGAAGGGTCTTGCTACGTAGACCCGAACAGTCTTGAACTCACAGAGATCCACCCGCCTTCACTTCCCAAGGATGAAGCTGAAGGGTGTGCCACCACCGCCCCGGTAGCATTTCATTTGCATTAAGATTCTGCCTCTTCTTCAAATTCCATTAACTCCTTATCTAGCCTAGTGAATTTCCAGGAAATTAAAAGCGCAGGGAAAGGAAGACTCTGCTCATTTCTGCTGTTGTAGCTCACTTAGCACCAACATGGTAGAGTGGAAAATCTCATACCATGAAAACTTTGTTTCTTGCAAAATATTTGAAAAATATTGCATAAAATTGCTTTTGGCCTATATGTGAAATATTTATATAAACCAAATGAGTTTTGGATTTTGACTTTGATCCCACTCCTGTGGTATCTCATCATGTATAGGCAAATATCCCAGTATCTAAAACCCAACTACTGCTGATCTCAGGCATCTAGAGCAAGGGATATTAAGCCTGCAATACTAGTTTTATTTCTGTCTTCCCAAGAAATAGATATAAACCAAACCCTCAGGGAATGTACTTCTTTCTTTAAGAAAAAGAAAATGGTTACTCCTCTATTCATTGACTTTGTAGGGAGACAATGCATCAGTGTATGCAGGGTGCGGTGCATGTGGAGGTCAGAGGACAGCTTACTGTAGTGGATTCGCTTTCCACCATGTGGATCCCAGGGACTGAACTCAGTTTGCTTAGCAGCAGGTGCCTTTACCTACTGAACAATCTTTAAGCCCCCCACTCACCCAAAATTTCTCTTGTGTTAAGCCTCCCCATTGGAATAGCCAAGCTTACCAAGTGACAGCTATCACTGATTTTCTACTTCCCTTTCAGAACAGCAAGCTCAACAATCTTGGAGACACAGTGGGAATCCGATTTGCGAAGACTTTGAAAAGAAAATTTTCAACCAATGATACAAACCAACAACCTCAACAGTATAAGCACATAGTTTTGTTCTCATAGTCCTTTGTATTCCGTCCACCATCACCCATCCCTCCAGCCGCCGACTGCACAGAGCTCAGAGAGCCCACCCTCCCCTCTGCCCTTCTGTGTAAATGCCCTGCCAACCTTCTACTCCTGACTTTCTGTATCATCCTTCCTGTTCAGTTATCCTCCAAAATAAAACTTTGCAATGTACATCACAATGCTGAGCTGTCAGGTGCTGAGAGAGCCCACTGAGAAGGTGACTCTGAAAGCAGAATGTACCCCTCCCCCATTGTAAACCCACACAGGCATGTCTCCAAAGATCCTCCGAGGTATCCTTTCTAAGAATGGCCTGGCCCCTCTAACCGAGTGACAGGGCAGATAAACCAGTAAAACAGGCCGGGGATGAACACACTGTCCTTGGGAACAGCTAGAAGGTGAACCATTTCTAACATTTCTATTAACACTGTTTATCCTGTGACGTAAAATGGGAAGGAGAAGCCAGACGTTCAGCCCTGGGAGCTTAGCCATGGAGAGAAAACTCAACTGGGAACTGTGGCTAATGGCCTGGCTTCCATAGACATTTTCTGTTGGGTGTTGTGAGGATCCAATTTCTGGTGGATAAATGGGTTCTGGGGGCCTGGGAGCCCATTCTGGGTCAAGACCCATTGGGTTGGCAGGTACCTACCAGCTCCTGCTTAAGCCAGAAGTAGAAGGCTTTTGTTACAGCAGAGGGTGTATGTGATTGATTATACTGGCTCAGATGGCAAGCAGCATGAAGGACAAGGCTTAATTCTCAGTTCAGAAAGAATTTTGTTTACCTCGTTATCAGCCAGGCCCTTGACTTTCTCATTTCTGAAATTTCCTCTTCACTGTCCAGAAATTCTGGTTGTTAGGGTTTTGTTTGTTTGTTTTATGCTTTTTGTGTTTCCATCACTCTACCTACCAGAAAGCCTCCTACCAAAGTTTAGTCTCCCCTGAATAAGGCTGTGGCTGCTCTCAAGGTCAGGCAATTGGAAACAGGAAGTTGATTCTGGGCTAAATGACTCACAAGTTCATAATTCTCTCCTAAATTCAGTCCGAGTTCTTCCGTCTACAGAGGCCTCAGGCTGTTTGGGTTTTTGCATAGCGTCCAAAATCACTCCCCAGGTCACAGCCCAGTCTCAAGTGCTTCTTCAGGAACAAGAAACCAAGCTTCCTTATTTCTCACCGAACAGCAGCATAGGAATCCTGATCATTCTCACACCCAGACTGGTTCTGGAGTCACGAGAAGACCCAGAAAAAGCCCTCTGAAGTTCCTTACCCACTCAGCCACCATGTGTGCCCTGTCCAGCAGCAGCAGGCATGAAGCATTCCTTTAAGAGGAGAGACACACTCAGACCCACACACCCTTGTGCTCACATGCTCACAGGATGAGCCAGTTTCAATAAAGTAGGTAACACACCTGTGGAAAAGGCAAGGATGGTTCTAGACTTTCAATTGAAGTTAGTACAGGCAATCCTGAAAGAATTGGGGTAGATGTTCTGTGAAACCTGAAAATCTCTCTTTTTTTTTTTTTTTTTTTTTTCTGAAGGAGAGTGGGTGAGAGTATCAGACCTGGTCTTTATTTAAGACACTCAAGTAGTCTTATCTTTCCAGGGAATTCAGACCACTGCCTTCCTTCTGCCTCCTACTGTGTATCCCTGGGCATAAAACTACGTAAGAAGTGGCAGTTTATCAGACACTACAGAGCTTGTGTTATGATCAAAGCAAAATGCTGTGGATCCCCGAGGGGCACAGTGGCAGAAACACTGCAGGTCCCCGAGGGGTGGCAGTGGGCAGCGGGCACGAGACCACAGTGGACCACAAGAGCAGCCAGCCCCAGGCAGGGAGCCCCTGAGTAGCCTACCGGCCATGAAGACCAGAGGGTCCTAGGTAGGGAGCCTAGGCAGGGAGCTGCCTGGTGGGTGAGAGGCCTGGGCAGGGCAACCAGTCCCACGAGGAGCTGCAGCCACATGGCCGGTGAGAGACCGAGATGGATAGGCAGAGTGAGGTTGGATATTTATTTAGTGAGTTATGGAAAGGAAGGGAAAGGGGAGAAGGGGGAAAAGCAGAGAGGCAGAGAGAAAGAGAAACAGAGGGAGGAGGGGAGAAGTGGGGAGAAGGGAACAAGGCAGGAGCTGCTTCTTTGGGAGAGAGCTGGAAAGGAAGAAGCTCAGACTGAAAGGGGAAGGAAGATCTGCCTGCCTCAGTGGTGGATGGGGGAGGGAGTGGTTTCAGAGCAGCTGTAGTGGCAGGCACCTGGAAACCTGAGCTAAATTTGCCAGCTGGTGCCAGTCTATGTTGGGACCACTGATCACACATCCCAGGCACAGCAGACATGGACGGACTGACACCTCCGGGTTCCAAGTACCCAATGGCAGCACAGAGCCAAGCAGTATCCGGGAGTGTGATTTGCAACCCTCCTGGTTCTCAGCTGAAGCTAGATCCTAGTTCCCAGCCAGACAGCTGAGCTGGTGAGAAACAGCCCACAAGTGTCTATTGAAATGCAAATGCACCTCGAGCCAGGGGTCTTTGGAAACCTGTCAGCTAGGGGGACTTACAGCTTGGATACTTAAAGGAAGCAATGACCTGAATTCTACCTGACAGCTTACTGAAGCTGACCAACATACTGGAACAAGTGGAGTATGCATTACAGAAACAGCAGGTACATTAGATTAATTATGATAAACCTTGGCAAGCATGTATATTACCTACAAAACTTACTCCCACGGTGGTTTCATGGCAAAACAGTTCGTTTATGTGGCTACAACTTCCTGTCTTACCAGTCAAGGTATTAAACCCTTATTTTGAAGCATTAGCTTGTTTAGTATGGAAGAGCAGAATGGAATCTAGGCGATATTTTGGCAGGGAACCTAAAGTGATCTACGCTCCTTATATTAAGCAACAGATTGATTAGTTATTTCAAAATAGTGATTGTTGGGCAATTGTGCTTGTTCAATTTCAAGACCAGATTAATAATCTTTCCCCAGATGATCGGATGCTATAATTCACACAACTATATTCTTTTATTTCCCACTACAGGTTGCTTTGTCAATTTTTACAGATGGTTCTTCCAGTGGAGGAGCAGTATGTGTTGTTGGTGGTAAAGGACATATAGTGTGAACTGAACTGGCCTCAGTTGAAACAGTTGAGCTGTTGTATAGTATTCCAAGTTTGGTTTTTTTTTTGCAAATAATGCATTTAATTTATCTACTGACTGCCATTACATTTTTAAAACCCTTCAGATACTGGAAACTGTCCCATGCCTTGGGACTAGCAATAAGCAAGTTAAAATGCTGTTCCAGCAAATTCAAGATGCCATTTATCAAAGGAAATTGCCATGCTTTGTGGGTCATATCAGAGTACATTCTTCCTGGTCCATTGGCTGAAGGTAATACTCTAACCGATAAGTTTACAAAGTTTATTGCTTTATTTCAAGTTGAGCTTGATCAATGATCACATGCTTTACATCATCATTGTTTAAGGAAACAATTTGGGTTAACAGGAGACATTGCTCACCAGATTGTCAAGCAGTGTGATGTATATCCACAATACTTACCTGTACTTTATCTGGGAGTAAATCATCAAGGCCTGCCTCCTAATCAATTATGGAACATGGATGCTTCTCATATCGTGTGTATGTGACAACTGATGCATATACATGTTTCTTAATAGCCTCTGCACAGACTGGAGAAGCCACTAACATGTGATAACTCATTGCTTAAAGTGCTCTTCCTATATGGGAATCCCTAAAATTATAAAGACAGACAATGGCTCCAGATATATTAGTAAAACCTTTCAGCAGTTTTGTTCTCAATGGAATATCAAACACAAAACTGGCATTTCTTATAATCCTCAGGGACAAGAAACTGTGGAGCATGCCCATGGCTCCCTGAAACCACAACTTCAAAAGATAAAAAATGGGGGAATTGTGCTCTCAGTCACCACATAACACCTCAAATCATGCCCCTTTTTACTCTAAATTTCTTGAATATGGATGCCCACGAGCAATCTGCTGTAAAAAGATTTTGGCATGATGGCATCAAGGTGACCTTCACTAAAGCAGGGTGGAAAGACCCTTGCACTGGATTATGAACAGGACCCCAGCCTGTATTAATATGGGCTTGAGGATATATCTGTATTTGTTCACAGAAAGACGGTGAAGTGCAATGGCTTCCAGAAAGTCTGGTCTGATGTGTACAGCAGAAGGATGACAATCCTGATGCATCATGGTCACCAGTGTCCCCACAGCAGAGTCAGAGTGAGGTTCCTGAACCTGTGTTCCTGACTTTCTTACAACATCATGCTGCAGTATGAGAAGAAAAAGAAGATTGTGGTGGCAATTGGTGACTCCTAGATTCTTGGTGAACTTACTGCACAAATTTCTATACCTCAGTGTGTTCTGTTTATTTTGGAGTCAGTCCAAGAACACTGACTGAATGCTTGACAGTTTATCCACACTATATCTTGGGATACAGAACTCATTTTTGCCAGTATGGTATTCAATCTGCTGTTGAAATAAAGGACCTGAGAACCGAGACCTCAGAAAATTTTCCCCTCTAAGGGAAAGAGACTTGTTAAAGCAATGGAACACTATTATGGAGGCAAAGAGTGACTCTGCCCCTTGTGAGAGATGAAGAGGGGGGCCATAAAGGCTTTTACTGCTGCTCAGAGACTGGGACAGTTGAGACTTGTCTTTGAAACGTAGAAGCAGCAATGAAGATGGACTACAGGAGAGAGAAAAGACGCAAAGCTCACCCTCACAGAAACCTTTTCTTGTCTTTTGAATAGAATGGATTTAAAAGAATTGTGATTTGACAAATTGACAAATTGAGTGCTAGAATTATGGTATCGACCTGTTAAGGTTTGTAGTTCATTATGAAGAAAATGTAGTTCATTATTAGAAAAAGATTAGAGCTTGTCTGAGAAAAAATTGACATGACAAGCCCTTAGAAGGCAATCTCACCTCTGGTCACTCTTCATCCCATTATTAGGAAATATTGTAGCCATAGGAGTATATGTATCACAAAGCAGTATCTGCTTGCATATGTTTAACTCTCTTGACAGAAAATTGACTTAAAGGTTCACAGTGCCTAGTGATACTTTCTCCCTTAACCCTTTATTTACAGAGGTTGATAGTGAGAGATGGGTAAGACCTTCCCTGCACCCACCCAGGCAATCCAAAACTGGACATACATGATGGAATGTATGTACTGATGACAGGTAAGTTTGGAACATGGGAAAATGACTCCCAAGACAGACACAGCCATCTGTCCTGTAGCGGAAGCACAGGCTTTATTAAATAAAATAAAAAGGAAGGAATATGTGGGACACACAGGTGTGAGCCTATTTCACCTTGACTGAAAGTCAGAGAGTTAGAGCTTATTGTTGCTCTCTCAAAGATGTTAAAAACAGGTGTGGCTCCAAACGAAAGATTCTGACCTAGGGCGTGGTTAATTAATATTTTGGGTATAGAGGTTGATCTGCTTCATATGGAGCAAAGATCAGAGAATTCAAGTATATTCCCTATGTCATGTTAATGAAGTCTATCCCATTGCCCCTCCCATTTTGGAGTGAAGTATATAAACATGTGAAAAATAAATGAAGCAGATTCAGTATTCACTGAGTGTCCCTCCCAATGCTATCCTGTGTTTCTGTCTCTTGGTTTTCTGATATCTCTGTTCCTTTTCCTTAAAAATTTTAATCCTCAAGCACCTACCCTGGAATGTATGAGTTCATCGAAGTTGGTATTTGACAACCTTGCAATAAACACCTGCAGCCCTGAAGTTAGGAAGAATGACAGACAACTTTAGTCTCCATCATTGCTGTTGACTGTCCAATAGGGTGGAGTAGACATCTTCCCTTCTAGAACAATGTCCATCTCAGCCTTTGCCTGCACAGCACAAGGCAATGGAAACAGTGATTCTGTTCCAGCAGACTCAAAGACCTTGGCTGCTGGCTCTTCACCCTTCACACTGACTTGAAGTTGCCCCATCACTCCACTGGGCAACAGTGGCCCACCCTGGATGTTACTCAGATTGGTTCCATCCCTCGGCCATGTTTTCCTCAGTTATCCAGCTTCCCAAGTCTCTACTTCCTATTAGTACCTTTGCATGAACCACCTATCCTTTGGTATATGTGAGAGGGGTCATTGGCTGACACATTTGAGCAACCCCAGCTATTTCTACTGTTTCATATGTGTTGGGGGGAGTTCCCGGCTACTAGAATGAGGAGTTACAAAGAGGTTTGTTTTGTTTTGTCTTTTAACAGCTTGTAACTGATCATCAGACCCTTTAATAAGAATTTTCAGGTGTTTCTGCTATTAATGTCCAAACATTGCTGATTCCTGGGCTGTTTGCCAGCTCAACATCTCAGGCTTCCTTCCCCTTTCTGCACCACTATGAATTTCATCAGTGGTGTCCCCTTTTCTCTAATTTGTATAAATAAAGTCTCTCTGGGTGGTGATGAATCTTTGACTTGTTCAAGGATACTTATGTCAATTTTGCAAATTTGTGTTTATTATTTTTTTGAAATACATACAGTGCCAAGAACTTTATAAATCATGATTAATATGAAGCCATCAATCCCATGAGCTACATACATCTAGCATCTTCATGTTACAGATGAGACAAGGGCAAGAACAAGTAACTTACCCAACTTACACAGCCAGTCCAGAAGAACCTGCATTTCTATCTACATGAGCTGACTGCAGAGTCTTTACTTGGCTTTGCCAGTCAACTTAAGCAACTCTTGCTCACACCAAACAAAAATAACTATAAAGGTCCAATACAAGCTAGATGATAAAAGGCAAAGGCTCTGACATGCAAAATGTTGCTCTGTTTACTGGTGATAATAGCCATTATCCATTATTAGGTCAAAAACATTGATTAGCACATTTTATTAATATAGTGTTGGCAGACTTTCTGTCTCTCCAGCAGCTCCCTAATAAACACACAGAGGCTTAATATTAATTATAAATGCTAGACCAATAGCTCAGGATTATTACTAGCTAACTCTTATATTTAAATTAACCCATTTCCATTCCTTTACTTACTGCCATATGACTCATGACTTGTTACCTCATTTTGTACATATCCTGCTTCCTCTGTGTCTGGCTGGAGACTCTTCACTCTGCCCTTCTTCTCAGACTCCTTCTAGTCTGGTTCTCCTGTCCAATCTCTTCCTACCCAGCTATAGGCCAGTGAGTTATTTATTAATGCATGAGAGTAATACAAATTCACGGTGTATAGAGGGATTATTTCACAGCACTTTCTTCTTTCTTACTAAGTAAAAAGGAAAGTTTTAACCTTAATATAGTAAAACTATATATAGCAAAACAGCTGTTAAGTAAGAATTGCAGTTACAATATCCAGTCCATTTGTATTTGGCAAATTTAGAGAAAATATTATTTATCGTTATGACTCTAAACTTTTATACATAATTTAGCTTTTATCATAACTAAGAAAAACTTTACTAGTCTTCAACTTTGTCAAAGACCCCAGAAGAGTGAAATATTACCTGATGACAGGGACATCTGGCTGCCTGGATGGTCATGCTAGGTTCCTCTGCAATGTTGCGGTATCCATCTTTGACCTACAGGTCTAGAACATTTGACACACTTTTCTGTGAAGCGGGGAATTTTGAAGGACTATCCTATCTTCTCTTGGCAAAATCTTGCAGTCACTTTCTTTTGTATCCTGCTGGTCCAGTTTTGACAATATACTGTCAGCAGTTGCATCAAGGACAACTTCTTTACCCAAATGGCTAGTTTTTGCCATAAAGAAAACAAACTCTCTGAAGAGTTTCTTCAATGCCCATCATCTTCTCTGAGTAGATTAGTGCTGCCAGGAGCAGGCAAGTCTCACTGTCATGAAAAAGCTTTACGTTATTAAACATATTAAAGTCTATATTCTGTAGGTCTGTATAAAGTGTCTGAAGACCATCTGTCTGTCCATCTAAATATATCTCTGATCTTGAGAACATAACTAAAATGACTATAAGTTTGATAATTATAAGTGACTAGTGACCTATATTTCTTTTTTTTAATTTTTATTTTTTTATTAATTTATAAAAGTTTCCACTTCCGCCCCTCCTCCCAATACCCTCCCATTCCCCCCACTCCCTCTCCTCCTCCCTCTCCAGCCCTAAGAGCAGTCAGTGTTTCCTGTCCTGTGGGAAGATCAAGTTCCTCCCCCCTCCCTCCAAGTCTAGGAAGGTGAGCATCCAAACTGACTAGGATCCCAAAAATCCAGAACATGCAGAGGAAACAAGTGTCAGAGTTCTTGGGGAACTCTCATTAGATCAGTCCACTTGTATCAGTGGGTGAACGCACTTCTCACAGTCCTGCCTTTCTTGTTCACGTTCTTCCTCCTTCTGCTTCTCATTTGGACCTAGGGAGCTAAGTCCAGTGTTCCAATGTGGGTCTCTGTCTCTATCTCCATCCATCGCCAGATGAAGTTTCTATGGTGATAAGCAAAATATTCATCAGTATGGTTATGGGCCAAGGCCAGTTCAGGCACCCTCTCCTCTGCTGTCCAGGAAACAATCTGGGGATCTCTTCTTTGACCTGGAAACCCCTCTAGAATCAAGTCTCTTGTAAACCCTAAAATGGCTCCCTTAGTTGAGATATATACTTCCCTGCTCCCATATCCATCCTTCCTCCCTCCCCTGCATCCCAATCCCCCAAGCTTTCCCCAATCCTCCCCAACTCCCTTCTCTCTAACCCTCTCCCCTTCCATCCACTCCCGCCCCCGTGCACCCAATGTTGCCTGGCACTCTTGTCTACTTCCAATATCCAGGAGGAAAACCGCATGATTTTCGTCAGGTTCACCTTCTTATTTAGCTTCTCTAGGATCACGAATAATAGGCTCAAAGACCTTTAATTATGGCTAGAATCCACTTATGAGTGAGTACATACCATATTCCTCTTTTTGGGTCTGGGTTACCTCACTCAGTAAAGCGTTTTCTATTTCCATCCATTTGCATGCAAAATTCAAGATGTCATTGTTTTTTACCGCTGAGTAAAACTCTAATGTATATATGTTCCACACCTTCTTTAACCATTCTTCTATTGAGGGGCACCTAGATTGTTTCCAGGTTCTGGCTAATACAAATAGTGCTGCTATGAACATAGTTGAACAAATGCTTTTGTGGTATGATGGGGCATCTCTTGAGTATATTTCCAAGAGTGGAATTGCTGGGTCCTGAGGGAGGTTGACTCCCAGTTTCCTGAGAAACCGCCACACTGATTTCCACAGTGGCTGCACAAGTTTGCATTCCCACCAACAATGGATGAGAGTTCCCCTCTCACCACATCCTCTCCAGCATAGGCTATCATTGGTGTTTTTGAGTTTGGCTATTCTGACCAGTGTAAAATGGTATCTCATAGTTGTTTTGATTTGCATTTTCCTGATCGCTAAGGAGGTTGAACATGACCTTAAGTGTCTTTTGGCCATTTGAAGTTCTTCTGCTGTGAATTCTCTGTTCAGATCAGTACCCCATTTTTTAATTGGGTTAATTAGAGTTTTAGTGTCTAGTTTCTTGAGTTCTTTGTATATTTTGGAGATCAGACCTTTGTTTGATGAGGGGTTGGTGAAGATCTTCTCCCAGTCGAAAGGTAGCCTTTTTGTCTTATTGACAGTGTCCTTTGCTTTACAGAAGCTTCTCAGTTTCAGGAGATCCCATTTATTCATTGATTCTCTTATTGTCTGTGCTACTGGGGTTCTACCTAGAAAGTGGTCTCCTGTGCCTATGTCTTGTAGACTACTTCCCATTTTCTCTTCTATCAGGTTCAAAGTGGTCAGGTTAATGTTGAAGTCTTTAATCCATTTGGACTTGATTTTTGTGCATGGTGATAGATATGGATCTACTTTCATTCTTCTACAGGTTGACATCCAGTTATGCCAGCACCAATTGTTAAAGATGCTTTCCTTCTTCCATTGCATACCTTTAGCTCCCTTGTCAAAAATCAAGTGTTCATAGGTTTGTGGGTTAATATCTGGGTCTTCTATTCGATTCCATAGGTCGACTTCTCTGTTCTTATGCCAATACCAAGCTGTTTTCAATACTGTAGCTCAGTGAAAGAGTTTGAAGTCAGGGATGGTTATACCTCCAGAAGTTCCTTTATTTTATTATATAAGATTGTTTTGGCTATCCTGGGTTTTTTGTTTTTCCATATAAAGTTGATTATTGTTCTCTCAAGGTCTGTGAAGAATTTTGATGGGATTTTGATGGGGATTGCATTGAATCTATAGATTGCTTTTGGTAGAATTGCTATTTTTACTATGTTGATCCTCCCAATCCAAGAGCATGGGAGATCTTTCCATTTTCTGGTATCCTCCTCAATTTCTTTCTTCAAACACTTAAAGTTCTTGTCAAATAGGTTTTTCACTTCCTTGATTAGAGTTATCCCAAGATATTTTATGCTATTTGTGGCTATCGTGAAAGGTAAAGATTCTCTGATTTCCCTCCTGCTTCTTTATCCTTTGTGTATAGGAGGGCAACTGATTTTTTGGAGTTGATCTTGTACCCTGCCACATTACTAAAGGTGTTTATCAGCTGTAGGAGTTCTTTGGTAGAGTTTTTGGGGTCGCTCATGTACACTATCATATCATCTGCAAATAACGAGAGTTTAACTTCTTCCTTTCCAATTCGAATCCCCTTGATCCCCTTATGTTGTCGTATTGCTATTGCTAGAACTTCAAGCACTATATTGAAGAGATATGAGGAGAGTGGACAGCCTTGTTGTGTTCCTGATTTCAATGGAATGGCTTTGAGTTTCTCTCTGTTCAGTTTGATGTTAGCTGTCGGCTTGCTGTAAATAGCTTTTATTATATTTAGGTATGATTTTTGTATCCCCAATCTCTTCAACACCTTTATCATAAAGGGATGTTGAATTTTGTCAAATGCTTTTTCAGCATCTAATGAAATGATCATATGGTTTTTTTTCTTTCAGTTTATTTATATGATGGATTACATTGATAGATTTGCGTATGTTGAACCAGCCCTGCATCTCTGGGATGAAACCTACTTGATCATAATGGATAATTTTTCTAATGGGTTCTTGGATTCAGTTTGCCAGGATTTTGTTAAGAATTTTTGCGTCGATGTTCATGAGTGAGATTTGGCCTGTAATTCTCTTTCTTGGTTGTGTCTTTGTGTGGTTTTGGTATCAGGGTAACTGTAGCTTCATAAAAAGAATTTGGCAATGACTCTTCTGTTTCTATATTGTGAAATACATTAAGGAGTATAGGTATTAGCACTTCTTGGAAGTTCTGGTAGAATTCTGCATTGAAACCATCTGGTCCTGGGCTTTTTTGGTTGGGAGGTTTTTGATAACAGCTTCTAATTCTTCGCGACTAACAGGTCTATTCAGATTGTTCACCTGGTCTTGATTTAACTTTGGTAAATGGTACTTATCTAAAAACCAGTCCATTTCTTGTACATTTTCTAAGTTTGTGGCATATAAGC